GGGTTATTTAATGCCGACTGGATTTTTATTGCTGGTAATATTTTTTTTCAAAAATGTATTGCTGTTTTTTTTTTTCAGAAATGTAGTGATGGATATAATTTTTTCCAAAAATGTATTGCTGATATTAAAACCTATTTTTACATGTTTTGTCCCCAGTTTGGGGTTAACTACTTGCACATAGCCGGGACCTCAACAGGTACCACCATCCGGGTCAGGGTGCACCTAGGAACACCAGCAACTAAGAGGCATTTCCACGCTCCTCAAAACCTCCTGATTAGGGGCCTTGCTACCGGATGCAGCTCATTCTCCCTCTTAACCAGAACGCGGATGTAGTTTATCGTTATACCCAGGACGGTCTAGAAGAATGGATGTAGTAAGGAAAAAAAAATACTTTTTCAAGGAACATATTATCATCTTCGTAATTTTTGGGAGCCTTTAATCAGAATTAAACATTTACAAGACTAGCCGTTTGAAAGAAGGGAACCATATTCAATGTCCATGGTTTTACAGAATAGAGACTAATATTTAAACATCGTGAAACTATTATTAAACAGAATGCATTTTACACATTTATAAATCAACTATTCTCCTGTGAATCGACTACTGCATCTAGTATGATGCTTCTGCTATATATCTCGGAATTCTTGAAAAATTACAAAGAAGAATTATAACGTTTTCGGGCCTGATCTGGCATCTCGGTTTCAGTGAATTTCCAGACGTGCTAACATAGGTTTTCCCTATCTTTTCTATAAATATTTTAGTAATTGCTCTGATGAACTTTCTCTCTTTAGTACGAGAGGTCACGAAATTGTGCGCATTACTAGATTGGCGGCTAGGTCTCATAACTTCACTGCTTAAATTGCTGGATACAATCGTAAGTTTCTTCATCCGGACTTTTCGCTTGTGGAACTCTCTTCTGTTTTCTTGCTTTCCTGTCAACTACAATCTTCAAAAGTGTGTATCTACGCCATTCGTCATCTTTTGTCTCGTTGAAATCTGTTCTTTTATTGTCCTTTCTGTTTCTTTCACTGTAAGTAATCCCGCGTATCGTAGAGATTTTTATCCTCTTATTAGGGTGTGAAATGATTAAACATACAAATAGATTATGTTCAGAGAATTTAATATCTTTCTGCTTTCAGCAATAAGCACTACGCCACAATGGCAGTGTGAATGTCCTGGCATGTTCAAGAAATGATGAATTTCGAAATTTTATCGCTGAAGAATTTGACATTGGGTGTATCAGTTTCTCTCAGTCTTGTATTTTTGCATTCGTCCCCTCCATGATGGAAAGAAAAATTATAATCGGCACAAATGTAGCCTTTTCACACCGTTTATTTTACTTCTTTGTTTCTTTCCTTTTTTCCTTTCTTTTCTACCTCTCTCTCTCTCTCTCTCTCTCTCCTCAATAACCTCTCTTTCTATTCTTTTATCATTTCACCCCAAACAAGGCGATAAAGCCACTAAGATGAAAGGGGGTTACTGAGAAAGAAGAAAACTGAGAAAAAGTTATTGAGGAAAAAAAACAATAAAAGAACATGACTCAAACAGACAATTAACAACATTTGCCGATGCTTACATTTTTTGGACTGTTATCCTCATCTTCATAGCCACATTTACGACGTTTCGACCGTTGTACGCTCCGGCCTTCTTCAGGCGATCGTAATTCCGAACTGAACCCTTTATTTGGTCCACCGAGGTAAATTGTTCTCGTTCCACGTGCCATGCCCCTTCCGTATGTCTCAGTTATTTCCCTTTAACTCTCCAAGTTTTTAGTTCACCACTGCTGGAGTTCGGTATTGAACTCAGAACTCATTGGATCTAACCAACGTCTTTATCCACTGGGCCATGTGTCCAATGATGATGAGGCTAACAGTCTGAATAATGTAAATAATGTAAATAACTATAGTACCTCACCTCAGAGATATACCGAGAGATTGAAGTTGCATTTAAATGTTTGAAGATCTCAGTTGATAGTAAAGCAAAAAAGAAAAAAACAAACGGATGAGGGGAGAAATGAGGAGAAGAAATTATTAGCATAGAATTTACGCTAGCATTTAGCAGTAAAATAATGGGACCTAGCAGACACTCTAGTACTGCGCTTAAATTCATGTAGTAGAAGTACCGAAGAGGGGAGGTCATCAGAACAATTGTCATGGAAATATTATATAGAAAAAGTATAGGGAAGCTATATTACAGTAGTTCGAAAGTGACTGAAGCCGAAATGCCAGGTCAGGATCAATAAAATTGCAGATTTTTCTTTAGATTTTCTCAAGAATTTCGAGATACATAGCAAAAGGATCAGATCAGATATGAAAACAATATTCGAAGAAGCACTGACGAAAGGTGTGTGTAGGACGACACAATAAACCAACTTTCCTGATATATATATATATATATATATATATATATTTCGATTATAGGTGCAGTTCAATTTATAATTACATGAATCATTCATACAAAAAACAAATATAGAGTTTAATGATTTAAATGGCGGGAATACATCTTCGCAAACAATTTCAATAAGGTACACTAACCCCGAACCTATATATGAATGATATGATCCCTGTTTATAAATTCCAGTTTCATAAGGTCTTTTTTAGTTTTTACAAGCTTTCGTCTGTTCCTACAGACATCCTCAGGTATGGAAATAGATTTGTTCTTGTTTTTTAGCTTGTAAAAACTACAAAAGACCTTTATAAACAGGGATCATATCATTCATATACAGGTTCGAGTTAGTGTACTTTATTGAAATTTTTTGCGAAGATGTATTCTCGCCATTTAAATCATTGACATCTATATTTGTTTTTTTGTATGAATGATTCATATATATATATATATATATATATATATATATATATATATATATATATATAGACGCATACAAGGCGTCCATAAAGTTCGTGTGCACTTTAAAAATTTATAACTTTATCCGTATTTGCGATAGAAATAATTTGTCTTTGTTGTCATATTCACGACATTTCGGCCGTTGTGCGCTTTGGCCTTATTCAAGTGATTGGAGTTTCGAACCGAATCCTTTATTTCTTCCATCAGGATAGATTGTTCGAGTTTCATGCACCATGCCTCGTCCAGATGTCTTGGTTATCTCCCTTTTAACTTAAATCTTCAAGTATTGAACTCACAACTCATTGGGTCTAGTCACTGAATCTAACCAACGTCTTTATCCACTGGACCATGTGTCCTTGAGGGCAATGAAGATGAAGTGCAGGAATCATTTTTTTTTTTTTACAAGAGCTCATATTGCAATTTTTGCTGTTATTATGGCTTTTCTCTGGCAGTCCTTATTACTGGTTCCCATATTGTATTCATTTCTATGTTTCCTCGGCTCAGGAGATTTTTGTGACCTAGCATATGTGCTGATTCCTTAAGTTTACATTGTTGGGACTGCTGTCCTCATTTTTATTGCCATATTCACGATATTCCAACATATATTACCTGAAGAAGGCAGGAGAGTACAACGGCCGAAATGTTGTGAATATGCCAACAAAGACGAAGATAACAATCTGAACAATATAAATAGAGTAAATAATTACAATACCTATTCTCAGAAATATAGGAAGATCCGGAAGAAGGCCGGAGCGTACAACAGCCGAAAAGCCGTGGATATGGTAACGAAGATGAGGACAAGAGTATGAACAATGTAGAAAATGTATATAATTACAATACCTCATCTCAGAAATATAGGCAGATCCTGAAGAAGGGTAGAGAGTACAACAGCTGAAACGTC